TGCTCCAACTTTCTGGGGTTCACTATAAGGGTTTAAGGTTTCAGTTTGTCGGTCTAGCGTTCAGGGCTCAGATTTAGGGGGTCGAGGTTTAAGGGTCTATGGGATGAGGGTTGATGTAGAGTTGAAGGTTTAGGGCGGGTTTGAAACTTATGTGTTTTTTGGGGTTTTTCCAGGTTTCTAAAAGAGCTTAGAGGGGTTGCACAAGGTTTGCGCAAGGGCTTCCTAGGGTTGTGTGCACAAGGAAGTGTCCGTTATTGAATCTGCTTTTAGGTAGCGAGAAAGGACTTGAGGCTTGATGTGGTTTAATATAGGGGCCTGAATAGTTACCTATCCTATTTTGCGGGTTCTTTGTTATAAACATACTATAAAGGGCCCCAAACTCCCTATTTTTGATTATTAAGGCCCCTTCATTATCCGGGCTCTGGAGTTGCAGGAGGCAGGGTTGGAGTTTATGGTCAGGTCTTGGTCTTGCAGGTGAGGGAACTTGACGCAAATAGAGCTGAAACGTTCCAAGAGCATTGTCCGCGCAAGCTCTCTGTACTCCAAAACCTAAGCCCTAGACCCCAATCCCTGGTTCTAGCGGTAATTAGCGCTTCCTCCAGGTCGCTGATTTGAGAAGTTTTGGGGATAACGGTGTAACGTTTTGGTTTCAGGGTTTAGAGTTTACGGCTCTTTGGTTTATTGCTTTGGGTTTTGGGGTTTAGGGCTTAAGGTTCAAAGCTTTCAGCAAAGCCTCGATTCCCAAAGGCAAAATTGGCCCTAAGCCGCAGCTCAAAAACCCTGAACTCCCTAACCCTTACCCTGAACCCTAAACCCTGAACAACCCTAAACCTAACCCCTAAACCCTAAACCCTGAACCCTAAACCCTGAACCCTAAAACCTAAACCCTGAACCCTAATGCGCTAAACCCGGAGCCTTTCAGCCCGAGAGCCCTCAACCGAGATCGTCGAGATCCGGGACGGGATCGGCGGCTACTTCGCCTCTCAGCCGATTGGGTTTGGGGTTTAAGGTTTTGGGTTTAGGGTTTAGGGCTTTATGTGGGGTTCCCGGGTTTCTACTACATGTTCCAAGGGTAGTGGAAGCTCTTTAGGATTTAGGGGACTTCAGGTTTCAGAGACTACGGCTCACGTTGCGGCTGCAGGGTCGAAGAAGGGCTTGGAGGGTTTCCGGGCTTCGTTTTCTGGCCTGAAATTGAAGGTCTGGGCAGGGGTTTAGGGTTTCATGTCAGACCGATGGTAAGGCCAGAGCAAACCGTATTCTGTACGCAGTGAGCGTAGTCAGAATGCTATCATAGCACCAGTAGACGAGAGGAATGAGTTCTGTTAAAACTCTGTTGGTGCGCAAGTCTACAAGTTCTGGTGGATGGTTATCACAACATGGCTCGAAGCTTCTGAGATGCGCTGTCGTAGCATATCCTCAACTGCAGCTCCTTACAACTTGCTCTTGCACATTACAACCTCGACCCCGAACCTTCAACCCGAGATGACAGCCGTTTTGCACGTATGTTTAATTATGACGATGTTCGTAGCTTCAGGAGCAGCAGCTGCAGCATAGGCAGTGTGGCAACGCTAGGAACCTCAGTACGTTCTTACTAACTAAGGATGTTTGTTCATAAGGTTGGACGGTGTCCTGGAGTGAACCCTAAAGCCCCACACCCTAAACCGCTGAGGCTCGAAGGCCCCCAAACCTATACCACAGCCCCCCCTCCCCCCTAGCCCCCCGAATCTTGCAGGAGCGCTTAGAACCGACTTTTCTTCAAGTCGTGGGCGCGCAATTAGCAATCTTTTCCCCTCATCTTCCCTTCTAAGACTATCGTCCAACATACACTGAAGTTCTGTGATAACAATGCTCTTTCTAGCTATGTAGGGCGCTCACACCCTCAAGCCAGAACCCAGACCGCTGCACCCCGAAGCCGAAACCCTGAACCCTGAATCCCGAACCCTAAACCCTAAACCCTGTTGTCAGTGATGGAGTTGTCTTGACTCGGTCATTTCTAGTGTATGCTTCATATGAGGCAAGTCTCTGCGGAGGAGAAAGGGGCTATTGCACCAAAAACCAAAAAACTCTAAACCCTGGACCAAACTACACCCTCAACCCTCAACCCTCAACCCTCAACCCTCAACCCTCAACCCTAAACCCTAAACCCTAAACCCTAAACCCTAAACCCTAAACCCTAAACCCTAAACCCTAAAACCTAAACCCTAAACCAAAACTAAAGCTTCTGTGGCTCCTTATGGCCAAGGAGAGCCACCATCGCTCCTTGAGCAGCCACGAGGAGCTGCTGGAGCAGCCGGTTCCAAGCCGAGCTCGGATTCTCAGAACTTCGGCTTTTGGGGGGTCTCCGGCTTCTTAGGGTTTAGGGATACACACATATGAGAAGACATACAATAACGTATACTGATGTGGCCTCGAGCGTTGTCTCGCGATCGAGGGCTTCGCTTCGGGGCTTAACACAGGGGTCAGAAAAAAAAAGGGGAATCGCCCCCCTGGTAGCCAGATAGTCTTTATAATCCGGCGGAATGTCATATACCCTTTTCGAAGTGCCACCCAAAACTTTTCAAGAGATTGCTTTCAGGCAAGCCAGCTCCATCATCGTGTGCAGCTGCCATGACAGAGTCCAGCACCCAATCCCGGTTGTGACTGCCATTGCTTCTGGCGTCTGTTTTATCTGTTATATTATTTGTATAAGGGGTTCGCCGCAGGTTTCGCAGCAGCATGTGTACGTATGTATGTGTAGATGTATGTATGTAGGCGTGTACGTGTGTATGTGTGTATTTAGGTATGTATGTATGTATGCATGTATGTATGCATGTATGTATGCATGTATGTATGTATGTATGCATGTATGTATGTATGTATGTATGTATGTTTGTTTGTATGTATGTATGACATATACCTGTACCAATATGTCCACGCGTGCATATATATATATATGTATACACAGAGAAA